GAAGTCGATGGTGGTGAAGTGGCTGAAGCAAAGAGAGGGGGGGCAGTCGTAGGTGAGACCTGAAGAGGGGACTCTGCAGGTGGTAATGCAGGCATGGCCATGGATGCCACGGAGGAACACACCGAGACCAAGGGTGACACAACAGTTGCGGTGGCCACGGATGCCATGGAGGAACACACCGAGAWCAAGGGCGACACAGCAGCTGCAGTGGCCACGGATGCCATGGAGGAACACACCGAGACCAAGGGCGACACAGCAGATGCGGGTCAAGTTGCTCCCGCGGAATCAGTCGTAGAAGCAACCAAGGCCGATGAGGAAGAGGCTGCGAACCGAAAAGGGGCAGCCAGGGTCACAAACGGCATGGAAGGGGTTACTAAGACTGATGAGGACGCAGGTGCGACAAACACAGATAATGACGAAGAGGTTGTGATAGGTGTGACAGGCGCCGGTAATGAAGAAGGGGCTGTGACAGGCGTAGTCCGAGGACAGTGTGTGGATACCCGAGAAAGCGGGTGGTAAATAGACCATCGAAGCATGCTGCCGAACCGGCTGGAGAGGCGGGTCACGTGCGCAGGGTACCTGTGTTGACGTGTATGAATATAGGAAGTCCAACTTCGCAAGCGTTGTTGGAGAGTGCCCGCGAAAAAGCATGCGACGTGTGAGCATCGCTGCTGCAGTTTTGAAATCATACCARTTGTTGCAGACATACTCAAACCTAGTAATCTAGCCTGTAAACACTCCCACCGCCTGGTGTGCAGGGACCTTAGACGTAGCACTAGGATAACAAATAACAGGGAAATTCCATTCAGTTGCTTTGTCAAAGACACTCATACGCAGGGAACCGTCAAGGCGGACTTGGAGGCATGCACCCAAGAATGTGCAAGAGCCATCAGGCGTTGTGGTCTCCTTCCATTTGAGGCCATAGTGCTCTGACGGTGGTGGCAGATGTCCCCATGAGAGAACATCATCGATCAAGCGGTATGTGAACGCATACCGTTGAGCTGCACACGCCGCTGGAGATCATCAACAAATCGAGCCTCATCCCAATACAACGTCAAATTAGCTATCTCCGGACCAGAATTAGTCCCCATCGGGATGCCAATCAGCTGATGTCGCAAGGTGTCGTCCGCAGCATAAAGATACGTGTTTGTGACAATGAAATGGAGATGTTCAAGAATTTGGGAAACGGTCAAGGTGTTTGGTCCGGTATCAACCATCCACTCCCCTTGACGCGGCCCTTTAACAATCATGTTAAGGGTAGGAGGATGTGTGCGCCCCTGTGTGTTGTTGTAAGGCATATGTATAGGCTTCCTCAACCGCTTTTGATACATTATGACAAATACGGTCATGCAGAAAATTGGTATACATAGTTGTGAAATCAACAGTGCGAGGAGCATGGCCACGAAGAGAAGATGAATTACGTTTGAGATCAAGCATCACCTCCTCAGCGCTTTGCACGATCCAGCACAGTCTCACACCGCTTTGCTAATACAACAGATTATCCTTCTCACGGAGAGTTTCAATGACTCCTTGTAGTGCAACGCTGAGGAGGGCAGAAGCGACGGTAGTACTGGCCAAGGGTTTGTGGGGAGGTCGATGGTGGACTGCATGAACAGATGGCGCAGTTGATCGAGATCGCTGCGACAGGGAGAGATTATTCCGCTCTGTGATGCCGACAATACTGCGAAGCCCAGGGGGTGATTTGTGCGCTTTTAAGTGCATAGTACAGATATGGCAGCATGTCTTTGTGTGTATATCCCCATCGATGATTCCAAAGCGCATGATGTTCGAGAATATCTGCGACAGAGTCAAGAGGCACAACATAGGTAGGGCTGTCCAAATGAGCAGATAGATGAGAAAGGTACCAATTTTTACAACACATTGCCAAGTTATGTAAGGTCTTGTCGACAGGAACAATAGCAAAGTGTTGTTGGTGTCTCAAAGCCTTGTGCATTGAGTGAAGGGAGTGTGGTCGTCGTGTGGTAGTGTGGGGGGATGAGATGTTGCTTTGGCAACATGTGAGAACGGCTGAGCGCCACTGCTGCAATTTGTTAAGAGCGACCGGCCGAAGCTGCTCGGAGACCGACCTCAGGTATTTAGCAATATACTCGTCAAGGCCGACTCTAACAGCCTGAAGCACATCAGTGACTTGTCCATTAAGACGATACTTCGAGCCTTCATGGAACAAATCGCGGAGGCGATCATCAGGAATGATGTCGCAGTCAGCTGTAACATGGTCGTCGACTAAATGTGAGCAGTCAGGAAACACTTTCCGACATTGACAGTCTGAGGGGTCAGGAAGGGAGATCCCAGGTGTCACGCTGAGCGCAACTTCCGTGTCACGTTATAGAGAAGGTTGATTAGCATGGCCCCTGCGAAAGGATGACACACATAAATCGAGAAGGGGTCCAAATCTTTTAGGAGGGGAGGGGGAGGAATCCAAACGTGTGGCTGAATGGCAGCAATGGACGTTGATAAACAGACCCTCCACAAGGAATCAGACAAATAAAATAGCTTTACCTGGAACCAGTCAATTCGACGATTATACTGCAAGCAGGGTTGTCGAGCCCCGGCCCCGGGGCCCCGGCGGGGGTCCCGGGGGCCGGGGGTCGGCACCCCTGGCCCCGGCAAAAAAAGTAAAAAAAAAAAAAACCAGGGGGGTGCGCAGCCGCAGCCGCAGCCTGCACCCCCTGGGCCAAACTGCAATATTGCAGTTTTGGCCCGACCTCGGGCCCCCCCCGGGGCTACACCCCAGCCTTATGAGCCCGGGGTAGCGCGGGCGCGGGGCCGGGGGCGGGGCTCAGCGGGGTGCGGGGCCAGGGTTGGCTGGCAGCGGGGGCGGGGGTGCGGGG